CGACCTGCTGGCCTCAGGCGATCCTTCTGCCTCAGCCTTCCAAGTAGCTGGAACTACAGGTGTGAGCCACCACACCCGGCTAATTTTTAATTTATTGTAGAGATGAGGTCTCACCAATTGCCCAAGCTGGTCTTGAACCCGCGGGCTTGGATAATCCACTCACCTCAGCCTCCCCAAGGCATGGGATTACAGGCTGAGCCACCGAGCCTGGCTTGAGCCCAGGAGTTTAAGACCCAGTCTAGGCAACGTAGTGAGATCCCATCTCGATGAAAAAAATAAAAATAAAGATAGGCAAGCGAAGAGGACATAGAGTGATGGTAGGACATGGGACTGCGCTGTTTCAGAATGTGGTAAGGGAGGTTTCTCTGTGCATTTGACTTGAGCAGAAGCTGAGTGAAGAGGGGAACTTGAAGTGTAAGAGGGAGAAGGCAAGGATTTGGTTTGAGCAACTAGAAAGATGGAATTGCCATTTACTGAATTAAATTAAGGTAACACTGTGGGAGGGCCAGGCTTGGGGGCATGAGGTGGCGAATTCAGCATTAGATGTTTTTGGATTCCTGTTAGACATCCAAGTGGAGAGATGGCATTTATAAATCCATGAGCTGAATGAGATTCCACCGGGTGTATGGGTGTGGGTAGGGAGAAGAGAAAGCACTGATTGCTAGACCTCATCGATGTTTAGGATGCAAAGAGATGGGAGGAGCCAGGAGAGGCAGTCGGAAAGGGGAGTCCAATGTGTTCTGAGGAAAACCCTGAGAGCATGCTGCCCAGAAGGCAAGTGAAGAAGGTGTTTCATGGAAAAGGGGGCAATTCTGTCAACTGTTGCAGATTGGTCAAGTAATATAAAGAATTAGGCTGGGCGTGGTAGTTTATGCCTGTGATCCCAGCACTTTGAGAGGCCAAGGCAGGAGGATTGCTTGAGCCCAAGACCAGCTGAGCAACATAACAAGACCTTGTCACTGTGAGAAAAAAAAAAATTGACCAAGCGTGGTGGCGCACACCTGTAGCCCCAACTACTCAGGAGGCTGAGATGGAAGGATTGCCTGAGCCCAGGAGATCAAGACTGTGGTGAGTCATGATTGTACCACTGCACTCAAGTGGGTGACAGAGTGAGACCCCAATGCAAAAAAAGCCCCAACAAAAACAGAAAAAAAAACCACACTTGTTTTAAAGGAAAAATATAGTATTTATTATTCTCCTAGTTTATTTATTGTCTATAACTCTCATTCCCATGAATGCAACTTAATTTCTCCTCACCATCTTATTTTTATTGTATATAAATGAAGAGAGTGGGTAGCCATCCTCAGCTCATTAGACTGATTTGTATAGCTTTTTAAAAACATGTCAACTGGGTGCAGTGGCTCACACCTGTAATCCCAATACTTTGGGAGGCAGAGGCAGGAGGATTGCATGAGTCCAAGAGTTCGAGACCAACCTGAGCAACTGGGCAACTTGGCGAGACCTAGTCTCTACAATAAATAAAAAAATGAGGCCCGGGTCGATGGCTCAGCCTGTAATCCCAGTGCTTTGGGAGGCCGAGGTGAGTGGATTACCTGAACCCATGGTTCGAGACCCGCCTGGGCAACTTGGCGAGACCTCATCTCTACAATAAATCAAAAATTACCCGGGCGTGGTAGTGCACACCTGAAGTTCCAGCTACTTGGAAGGCTGAGGCAGAAGGATTGCTGGAGCCAAGCAGGATGAGGCTGCAGTGCCAGTCTGGGTGACAGCATGAGACTACAACTCAAAAAAAAAAAAAAAAAAATGTTCCTACCAAAAGTGAACACTCCAGTAAATGTGACACTCATACTTTTCCCTTGATGAAGTATATGTATTAGAGTACAAAAATTGGACCTGTTCCAAAAGAAAGGCCCAAAATATGAGTGTCACATTTACTGGAGTGTTCACTTTTGGTAGGAACATTTTTTTTTTTTTTTTTTTGAGTTGGAGTCTCACTCTGTCACCCAAGATGGAGTGCAGTGGCATACTCATGGCCACTGCAGCCTCGGCCTGCTGGACTCAGGTGATCCTTCCACCTCAGCCTTCCAAGTAACTGGAACCACATGCCCAACTAATTTTTTTATTTATTGTAGGAACGCGGTCTCACCAGGTTGTGCACATTGGTCTCGGACCCCTGGACTCAGGCAATCCTCTCATCTCTGCATCCCAAAATGTTGGGATCAGAGACGTGAGCCACCATGCCTGGCCTACTTTGTGTTTTCATTTCATTAATTAGAGGAAGAAGGCCACAGTCTTACTGCATTATTTCAGGAGGTGGTCTTTACTTCCTTGAACCTCTGTGATGCGTTCACCTGGCAACAGCTTCTTTGATATGCAAACATTCTAATGATACATTGCATAGGGCAGCCAACTCATATTGGACAATTCAGATCTCTCCTGGGAATTGAACTTGGATTTGGGATTTTCTTTTGAGTCTGATATGGTAAAAATGTGTGCTTTTCACTTTCTACTAAATGCAGCATAACTTACTACATCTTATGAGTGTGTAAAAAATAGAATAGTCATGTATAAACCTAAAATCACAGCATAATCATGTCATATATGGTTTTGTTTTTTTTTTAACTTTAGACTCCTAATAATTTTAATTTTATTTTTTGAGTTAGAGTCTCACTCTGTCGCCCAGGCTAGAGTGCAGTGGCATGTTCACAGCCACCAAAACCTCGAACTGGTGGGCTCAGGCGATTGCTCCACCTCAGCCTTCCAAGTAGCTGGAACTATAGGTGCACACCACCATACCCAGCTAATTTTTTGATTCATTATAGAGATGAGGTCTCACCAAGTTGTCCAGGTGGGTCTTGGACCCCTGGGCTTGGGCAATTCTCTCCCCTCGGCCTCCCAAAGTGCTGGGATTACAGGCTTGAGCCACCATGCCTGGCCTAATTTTTATTGTATTTTTATAAAATTAGTTTGGAATTTGGGAGAATAGTACTGTCATCTATATAAGTTAACT